TCGCCGACGGTGCCGAAGATGGTGGCCACTCGAGGCTGACTGAAGAACCACTGGGCCACTCGAATGGTGTTCTGCACTGCCCCACCGGCGATCATCTCCACCGGGTAGTGGGCAGCCATGTCCTGCACCAGTGTCCGGTGCTTCTCCTCCGGTCGGATCACATTGTTTGACTGAAGATCGTATTTGCGCAAAAATTCTTTGTCCACATTGGCGCTCAAGTCGAGCAGAGGGCTGCCCAGACCAAGGATGTACGATTCACTTCAAAAGGGTAAAATTAAAAACGATTAATTAAAAAACTAATTCAAAAATTTTAAAAACAAAAAATACTTACTTCAAGTTCATGTTTGTGTGCTGCTGAGAGTTATGTAACAGTGAAAGTTGAGGAGCATCCGAAGGTGATGGACTCAAATTACACACTGACTCAGTGCAAAGTGTGCTTTATGAATGGATTTGTCTTAGTGGCAAATGGAGGGATTGCACTGCGATACTTATCTCTATCATTCTTTTTATCATTTCATAATAATAGATGGGTGGTTTAGGAGGTGAGGAGAAGGTTCATCTTCCAAGACTAATGCTGATAAAAACCCTTTGTTGTGTTACTTTATGATGCTTTCTTTTAAATTACTTAACTTTAAATCTGCATTTTTTCCAAATCTACCCAAACCATTCAAGTACTAAGTGTGCCCTTCTTGACATCACTGTGAAATGTTTTGACAAAAATCGTAAGATTAGTATCCTCCGAGTGTTGTCTCATAGGGCAATCATCTGCAGTAGCGCANCCAAACCATTCAAGTACTAAGTGTGCCCTTCTTGACATCATTGTGAAATGTTTTGAGAAAAATTGTAAGATTAGTATCCTCCGAGTGTTGTCTCATAGGGCAATCATCTGCAGTAGCGCCCACGATAAACTATCACCCCAGCCTGTTTGTCACAATTCAAGTGTTTTTGTGTTTGCACAGAGCACATAGCTGTCTCTGTTCGGGGTGTCAATCTAATCATCTGGGTGTTTGTATTGAAAGAAACATCTTTGGTGAACATCAACAACTTGTTGATTTTGACTGTTGATAGCAGTCAACAGTAAAGATCGCCAAAAAATAGATCAAGTCACCAGTCTACTACTATCACACACTGTACAGGTCACATGTCTTACTGTCTGGCCAAGTCAGCTGCAAAACCTTTGCTGCTAAAAACTCTTTAATGGAAAAATCCACTGTTAACATTTTCTGTTTATGAGGCGAGAAGGAGCCTTGGACTTTGAGTTACCTGATGATTTGAGTAGTCCTCTCATCATCATCATCATTAAATTTTAATGAGAGGTGTGTTAATGCTTCTAAGCAAGCAAGCTCTGTGTGTGGTTACATTTGATCACCTCTCAGTTTGTTTTATTGCCTCAGAGATGTTATATAAGTCCAACTGGTAGAGGTTGCAGCAAAGCACTCTTCTAGAAACGACAGCGGCAATTTGAATTGGCGAAAAGTGCACTTTAGGTTCTTTCCTTTCATTTGTCAAGCAAAAAAAATATTGACCCACAAGTCAGTGTATTTGAGTAATGTGCGCTAAAAAGAATAACAAATTGGTCCATTTGAAAAAGCATTAGAAAAAGCATTCAAGAAGCGATCACATTTGAATCTTATAACAATCTTATAAATTCAAAAAAGCTAATCGTTGGCGCCTAAAGTAAGCAAGTGGAGAAGGATTTCCCTCACAAGCGCATTTTGTTCTCTGGCGGGAAGGCGCAACCACTCATCTTAATGATAGAGTGGGCGGCGAAGATGCCCGCATTGACGCACTGCTCCAGTGGCTTGCCCAGTGCCTTGTAGGCGAGAAAGCCGCCCACAAAGGAGTCACCGGCACCGTTAGTGTCCACAATGTCCGCTTCCGGCAGGGGGCTCACTTTGAAGCGACAGAAGTCGGCGGCGCGGTTAGTGAAGGCGACGAGCACGTCCTCAGCACCCTGGGTGATCACCACCGTACGGGGGCGCTTGCTCGGCTGATCAGCCAGCAGCTGGGTGATTTCAGGAATACTCTTGGTCTGAGTAAAGCAAAGTTGAGAATTAATTTGCATCAAAAAACCCAAAAATCCTTAGAGGGTACTCACATTCCACTTCATCATGTTGGAGTAGGCCTGCGCCTCGGTCTCATTGCCAAAGAGAATGTCCACGTAGGGCATCAGTTGCTTCAGCTGATTGCTGCACAAGTCAGAGATGTACGGCGCGGAGAGGTTGATGCAGAAGAGCTTGCCCTGGGACGAGTGCACGTGCTCCGCCATGAGCAGCTGAGCGTCGAAGCAGACCAGGGCGTGGAAGCCAGTGGTGTAGATGATCTTCGCCTGCTCCACCAGCGCAAAGTTCTCCTTCAGGTACTGCAGGTTGAACTTCTGCGAGGCGCCGAGGTAGGCGCACAGGGAGCGGTGCTTCCCGGTGATCAGACAGGCGCAGGTGCCGGTGGGCACCTTCGGGTCGACAAAGTAGGAGACGATGACGTGGTTCTCCTCCGCCTTGGTGCGCATCTGCTTCCCGAACTCATCGTCGCCAACGGCGCCCATGAAGGCAGTTCGGCGCTTCTCCGCAAAGAACCACTGGGCGACGCGAATGGCGTTCTGAGCAGCACCGCCGGCGATGTACTCCACCTTGAACTGGTCGGCCAGGTCCTTGCACAGGTTGGTGTGCTGGTCACCGGCGAGGATGGCATTGTTCGGCTGCAGGTCGTACTTGTGCAGAAACTCCTCATTGACGGAGGCGCTCACGTCCAGCAGCGGATTGCCCAGACCGAGAATGTAGCCTTCACTGCTAATGACAAAAAAATGAAAACAGTGTTAGACGAAATATGAAATGTTCAAAAAGTACACAGACGAAGTGTGCTTACGTGAGTGAATTAGACATGTTTTGGAATGAAGTTCTGCGGAAACTGAAAGGAGGCGATGAAGTCAGTGCTGTGAGTGTTAGGGTGAGCTGGCTGTTGTGCTAATTAGAACTTTTGCAGCAGTTCAAATTAGCCCTTTGTTTCCTCGTTGAAAAAGAGAACGGTGCCAAGTATGCGTTGTCGCTGACTGACTGACAGCTCAAAAAGTGTTGTCTCGTTGAATTTAAATTTAAAAACGGTGTGAAGGAAATTGCAGAGAACGGTGTACTTTTTCCTTGATGAGCGCTTCAGCTGGTTGAAAAGGGCTATGAGGATGCACAGTCGGTGGAAGTGAGTTCAAAGTGAAAAATGTTCTAAGGACTTGGCTGCTACAAGAGCAAATTGAATAGGATCGACGAGCGAAAATCAATGGTGGCACGATGCTGATTGGAGGGTGATGGTTTTCATCAGGATACTATCATCCGAATGCGGTTGTCATTGAAAGGTTAGCACTGCCAATGCGAAGAGTTGACGTGCCTGGACGAGAAAAGAAAAAACAGAAACGATAACGTTTATTATTAAATATAAAATGTACACTTCTAATGAAGTCAGCGTGCTCGC